CTCCGCCCCCCTAGTGAGGGTTAAGGTGTAGATAATAATAATAATAATAATAACAACAATTGCAGGTCTTTCTGCTCTGTTTACAGCCGTCACCATGGAAACGGTGGAGTCTGTCCTCAGAGGTGACATCAGCAGAAAATCACCGTTTTTTTAACGTTTCATTCCTCAAATGAAGCCACTGGACTGAACCAACGTCAGGTTCTGAGGGTCTGAACGTGTCGTTGGATAAACTGACAGATTTATTGTGACTCCAGCAGCCGCTGAGCATCATGGGAAGTGTAGTATTTATTAACCAGAGAAGATCCAATAAAACCACCACCTGCTTAAATTTTTATTTTTTAATCTTAAATTTCGTCACGCACCATGTTTGATGACAATAAAGCATTCTATTCTATTCTATTCTATTCTATTCTATTCTATTCTTATTGATGATGCTGCTGCCGCTTCACATGAAGCATCTCCAGCTGGAACGTCTCCAGTCTCATCCTGAAACCAGGAGCCACCTCCTGAGGGTTGCCCTAACCCTAACTGTCTGTGGACCGATCAGGACTTGGTCCTTTTAAACAACTCTTAGTTGATAAAGTTTTCATTTCTGTTGATGCTCTTCAGGCTAAACGTGATCTTCCACAATCTCCTTTACTGAGATGTTTTCACGCTCACCACAACCCGACTCCCTCACACATCCGATCTCATCCTGCAGCTCGTGGATCATCTCAGTCGTGGTCAGATCACAGCATCTCCTCTCGCAGTCAGAAACACTTGTGAACCAGAGGTTCATGTTGCTGTCTGGGCTGACTGGTGGCAGAAGGTCCTGGATGGAGTCACGACTACGTGTCCCTGACTAGTCGGACCCTGACTCAGTTTGAGGTCTCACAGGACTCGTTTCACACGGTGATCTGTGTGACAGGTGCTCCTCTCACCTGGTCTTCTCCAGTCCAAAGCTGGGTCCATTCTGGTCCTCTATGACACATTATCTCGAGTTCCAATGGGCCCGTTAATCTCTGGTTTTGGTGGACCTGAGGACTTTGCTTGTTTTTCTGTTCTGGCTGTTTCCTCTCTTGCAGACGAAGCTTCACTGGAAGGATCAAAAGCCTCCATCTTCTACTTCCTGGTTGACAGATCTGATGTCCTTCATCCACTCAGAGAACGTTCGGTATCAGAGGCTGTTCAGACCAGTGTGATGAGACTCGGGACCTTTTTCTGTCCTCAGCCGATCCGATGTCCTTGTTTACCAGCAGTCGTTTCTCTGCTGAGTTGCTCTGCAGGTCCAGATGGTTCAGATGTGAGCTCAGACTGTGGTCAAACGGCCAGTCTACTGCTGCTGGAGGTCTATCTCCAGCTTCAGTCCTCATCCGTCCTCTTTGTCTCTCTTCATTCCTCTGGACTCATCTGGAGCAGCACCGTCGGGTTTCATGTCGCTGCTGCAGCTTCCACACCAGAACTTCACTGAACAGAAACACTGAACATCTCATGAATGTCCAGATGATCTAAACCTGCATCACAACGATCCGCACGGACACAGAACCTGCAGGGACATGAATCAGACAGACCTGAGATCAGATCACGAAGCAGCTTGAACGCTTGTCACGTGTTCTGCTCTCTTCCAGAACTTCATAGTGTTCCTACATAACAGCTTTTTAAAGATTCTCCTCGACTGTCTGCATCATGAGTCTATTTTATTACAAATATGTGCTTTTATTTTGAAACGTTTGACAGGAAACTCACAACACAAAAGTTATAAATGTTCTGATATTGAAAGAAAAACGAAGGATAAGGAGTGAAAAAGGTCCAAAAGCTGCTCAGGTCCAGTAAAAGTCTTCATTTCCACGTTCACAGTGACGGTCGGGTGGATTCTCACCAGCAGCCTCTCGCTGCTTCACTTCACTTTTAAATCTGATTCAAAAATGTTTACATCATTTTTATTATTTGATTCAGTTTTTGGACCCGATCCGATTCCATCATTTTAAAGTGTTTTTATTCAACACGTGTTTCCACCACACGGGACTGTTCTGCTCAGACAGTTACACCTACTGTAGCTTATGTTTATTATGGTCTGTATTTATGGGA